CAAATCCATTCCAAAAATCTGACTGACTATGTGATGAATCACATTCAAGATGCCCTATGAAAATAACATAAAAAATCTGGATGAAGATGATTACTACAAATACTGTTGCATGTGGCAGTATCTGGAGACAGGAGAAGAGGAGAAGAGAGGAGAGGAGGAGAAGAGAAGAGAAGAGAAGAGGAGAGGAGAGGAGAGGAGAGGAGAGGAGAGGAGAGGAGAGGAGAAATCACAAAATAAAAAAGACTTGTTAATAGAAATACCATGGCAAAAGAAAACTAAAATAGAACCAATAATAATAGGTACACTTGATGCAATTCCAAAATAATAATAGCACCACTTGAATATCATTGGCATTAACAAAATCAAAAGCTCAAGACTTTCTTATTTCATCAAGCTGGCCTGGCCTAAATCTTTTCCCCTTTTAAATGTAAATTTTAATTTGTTTTTAAATTATTGGGTATTTTAAATTTGTCTCAGCCAAATTATTTAATTCATTTTTATTCTATTTTAAATTTTTGTATTTATGTGTTTTATTCTGTGGCTGTTCACCACCCTGAGTCCTTTGGGAGTAGGGCGGTATATAAATCCAATAAAATGAAAATGGAAATGAAATGAAATCATTGTATGTTAAGTACAGGCTCGAGTACAAAGCCTTTATCTGAAATATTTAAAAAAAAACATTCCAGGATTTTTTTAAAAAAATAGTAACAAACTACATATATAATATTTATAGATTACAGACAAACAAGATTCCAGCATAAGATTCAGGACACCCACTGTATAAAAAGCATTCAGAGTTATTCAAATATTACATTTAAAAATTTCTCTCGATAATAAAAAGAGCAATCATTGGTGTTTGGCCATGGCCCAAAGACCCTAATCCAACATTCTTCTCCAAACAACAATGACAAATTTAGATAGACCATTTCAAGCAAACCTTTTCCTTAGGTTTCAATTTACAGGGAAGTATATAAATGAAAACATTGAACAATGTCCTATGATTAATGACTAGTCGAGGTCTCAGCTCTATAGATAAGCTGAGATGGAGGCCGGTGGGCAACAAACATAAAGGAAACAAAGTTGCAATACACAATATACAAAAAGAAACAGACTAGTGAGTTCCCTATAGTTATAGTAAATTCTTCCAAATTATTCTTATGAATGCCAAGTGTCCATAATACAATATAAACTTTTCGCTTTAAAATGATTTAAAATGATCTTATTCAGTTATATGGGATAATTGAGTTGAGGAGTACAGATCCAATGCTTCTCAATGAATAGGAGTATTTGTATGGCTCTTCCGGCAAAAATAACATCAACTAATTCCTCTTTAACAAAAGCTTTTCCTGAATCCCCGCTAATTACCATAAAAAAAAAAGAATTTTTTTTCTTAACTTATATCATTTTATCAATTACCTTCTATTATTTCACCACAAATCTTAGTTTTCAAATAACGCAACTTAATTTTCTCTAACATTATTGCCATAAATTCTATCTAAAAGAAGAAAAAATTCTTAAAACCCATTACACTAATCTTAAAATCCTTAATTCAGTATCATTTCAATTTCTTTTCCTTTTAACATGGATGGTTATATCTTAAAGACATAAATCAACAAAATATTTACGCAGTATTTTAACTGTTACCATTTATTATCTTCATTTTACTATTTATCTCAGCTTAACCCTTTTAATCACAACATAATCATTTCATTATTAGTATCAATTCCAGCATGATCATTTTTATTTCTAAAAGTTTATCCCAGTATATAATCTTCCTCTTAATCTTCCTCTTTTGGCTATTAATCACAGCATATTCTTCTTAGGTTTTACTGTTATTCCCAGTGTAATCATCATTTTTGCTGTCAATCCTAGCATAATTATTTTTTCTTTACTGTTATTCCCAGTATAATCATCTTGTTTTGCTGTCAAACCCAGCATAATTTTCTTTATATTTTACTGTTATACCCAGTATAATTCTCTATGTTTTGCTTTCTATCCCAGCATGATCATTTTAGTTTACTGCTTATCCCAGCATAATCATCCTTTTTAAAAAATTTTATCATCCATCAATACATTACTTGTCAATATTCAATCATATTATCATTATCATCTTTATAACAATTTAACATTGAGGCTTAGTTCTTACTCCAAACCTTTCCTTATATAAATTAGTAAATTTCTGTTAATATATTCTATTCCTCTCATATTCTTACTTTTTTCTTTATTTCAGTTTTTTACATATTATATCAAATTCTTTTCATATTCATATTCATTTTTATTAATCTATAAAAACCTCCTTTTTATTATTACTGTCTATCTATACATTGCTTTATTTTTAATCACATTGTTTCTGCCTTCTTTTTTCCAGCCATGTGTATATCATTCCTCATTTCCTTGTCTGTAACATATATTCCATTTCAGTTTCAATGTTCACAATTTAATTCTCCATATATCAATTTAGTTCTTTTTCTTATCTCTATTTCAACAAATCATATCAATTTTCTTCTTTTGTTCCTGCGCCATTTAACTTCTTTTGTTCCTGCGCAAATTAGTCCAATTATAAGAGTTCCATCATACTTTTTCTTTTTTTTCAACAAAGTCAAACTGTCTGCAGACAAAAAAAAAAAAAAAAACAGCTCCATCTCCAAAATCCACGGTTATTATCTGAAGTATTCACAGTGTTCCCAAACAAGAAGCCAGTTACAATGTTTCTTTTTAGACCAGAAGGTGTCCCTCTACAATCCAAAATTTCCTTTAGTCATGCAAATCGCCAATTATATAACATTCCAACCCAATTCTCTCCTTCTTCTGTATTTTGAAAGTAATAATTCTTCTTTATCTTCTTTTCTTTAAAAGTCTAATTCAAATTTTAAAGTTGTTCAATTTTGAACCAAGTCTCAATGTTTATTTTTCAAATTTAGTCTATTCAAATATCAATTTTCAATCAGGTCTTTTTTTTTTCTTTTAAAAATTTCATCTTAAAATCTTCTATGCCCCTTAGCTCCACAGCTGCTGATTTAAGGCTAGGGGTCCTACAAAATAAAAAGCCATTACTCCAAACGTTGTTTCAACCCTGGATTGGTTTTCACTCACCCGGCGTCAAAAGGCATCAGTCTTTTCCACTTTCCTCCTGCACATCACTTGCCCAGTTTGTCCCAGCTTCGTGGCAGCCACCATGGCTGCCGCCCCCCACTGCCAATTCACAGAGAGCTCCCTCCGACCTCTGAGGAACTTGCCTGCTCCTCTGGTCATCCAAGGCGCCTCTCTTCCAACCCTGTCATTGCAGGACGGTTCCGGTCCGAAGACCCATCGATGGCGGTCCAGCAGCTGGGATTTTCGCGGGGCTCATCAGAGCCCACTATTTCCCTGACTGTCTTGCCGCGACATCAAACCGGAAGTCCATCAATAATTTATTAAATTTATATGCAGCCTGACATCTAGTGACTTTGGGCTGTTTAAAACCAAGAAAAATAGAAAAAAATAGCCGAAGTATAACAAGATGAAAGATCAATGGCAAAATAAATAAAATAGTTGATACACAAATAATCCATAATTTTTAAATAGTGAATTGCTGCACAACCTCAGGAACTGAGGCAGGTATTATGATAAAATATTACAGGTAGTCCTTATTTAACAACAGTAACTGGGACTGGCAATTTCATCATTACTGGCTGGCAATTTCATCAGTTGAAATTGAATACTGAAACTAATTTCAGTAGTTTCTTAGTGAAACTTCAGTTGTGCTTGCAATCTTACTTCAGCTCTCCTTTGCTTTAGCAACATGCAAAGTTATAAATGCAAGGATTGGTTACAAAACTACTTTCTCATCACTATCAGAACTGTAAAACTTGCACATTGTGCAAGGCAGTCACTAAAGAAAGACTAGCTGTATATGCTTGTCACAGATCAGAATATTGTTAAAGATTGTCTAATTTTAAAAGAAAAGAAAGAATCCTGAGAATCAGTCCTGAGGAATAATTATTATATTCACACACGGAAATAAGATTATGACTTAGTAACAGAAATATCATGTATAACAATAGCATCTCATAGCGATTCTTGATTTATCTTTAAAATGTTATGGAGAATTGGACATGGTTAATAGTTAAATGAGAGAGTAGGAAATCCTAAACTGCAGATTATCCTGCCAAATTGAAAAAAAAAAATACCTGGAAAAAGGCAATGTCTGACCACTTTCATCCATGGCCAAGAAAACTAGATGGATGCAATCAGTCAGAAATCTAACTTTACTAAAGAGAGTCCTTATTTTTAATAGCAATATCAAATTCTTTCAGAAACACCTAATGTTAATTCAGTGAGTTTATCTGCAGATTTACTTTACTAGGGTATTATTCACTGCTTTAGATATGAATTTTTTTCACCTGAAAATAACTGCTTACGAGAAGAAGTCATATGAACTTCCAAACTGTTTATGCACTCTGAACTGGACTGGAATTTGCACTCAGAAGTTAATACGTGCTATTCCAGTCTCTGAAATAGAATGAATATTGCTATCACTGAAAGTTTGTATTTACTTTTATTACTGCATGGATCTGTTTCTCCATATCGAGGCATTCAGATTTCATCCCTCCATCTGAGTTTCCATCCTTTATGGGCTGAAGGCTTTAAAGGTATGTCATGTTGACCTCCAACTGTGCAGAGGTGTAAGGCTTGGACTCAGCTCTGGCACTGTGCATTGTTGCTGTTATCTCACCACCCTCCTCTAGCCTTCCCAGCCTATCTTTGGATGCTTGCCCGGCTTGTGTCTGAGCCTATGACACATGTTCCCTTCTCCTCACAGTGGAGAGATTATAACCAGCTAGGACAGCCTCAGCTTTTTTAGGAGCAACCGGCAGACTGAGCACAGAGAAAAATCCAAGAGAAAATCTATTTTACAATTCTTTGCACATCCAGGAAATACAGTTTGGGTGTCAGCAAAAGCTCCAAGTCTGAACCAGTAACAATGACACCTGGACAGATGAATGCCATAGTACATGAGAAACAAACAGCAACAGGAGAATGGTCTGCCGCTATGTTTCCACATGAGCCTTCCACTCCAGCACCGGCCCAGAAGTGCCTCCCAGATCAAGGTAAAATCTAGGAGATCAGATATAGAGAAGCCAGTCTTCCACTGCTTTTTTCTATCATTCTGCAGAACAAGTAGGATGCTTTTTTTAATTTTAGCTAAAACTAATTGAAACATACAAATGCTTTAAATGCATAGTATTTTGCATTCAGCACATATTTACTTTGTGCATCTGAGCCAACTGCATATTCTTAAATTAATACCTATCTGAATTATTTATTTCAGATGAAAGGTTTGGATATTTAAGCAAAAGATTTCAATAATGTTTGCCATTTATGTTAAAATGTTGGAGGTAAATGCAACTGCTTCCCATTATTTCTGCAAGAAGAACCTATTTTGCAAAAAGACTCTATATTTTTTGTGACTGTTCTGTTTTATTCTATAATGCATTTTCACCAGAGTAATAAATTATATGCAAACTGCTAAAATTTTTATACACATGAACATACAACTCGTTCAAGAATTACTATAAAAATCTTATCTATATGCATTTTGTATAGAACAGGGATAATCACTACATTTGGGAGATAATACTTTGGAGCATCCCTAAAGCAAAATTTAGCCCAGTTTCATTGAACTACTGATTTCTCCATCATGTATATAGATAAGTGTTACATCAAAATTGTTTGCTTCTCCTGCATTTGATGGAATTTACTTTCAATTAAAAGTATTCAAGATTTAAATCTTAGATGCACCAATTGCATACCTTTCTATCATTAAGCATTGCAATTGTCAATTCCACTGAAGTTCGGAATGTTATGCTAGTATTTTAAAAAAATTGTACATAATAACCACATAGGTAAATATTAGGTGAGTAGAAAATTTAAAAACTCAAGTCCTAACTATAGCAAAGCACTATAAAATGTATGAAAATTACATTGCAGAATGTCTGTGATTATTGATAATTTAAATCTTCCTAGTTCCTGAAATGCACACAGGAATACCAGAATACTTCAGAATTCATTAATTAGAGAATTTCAGTGTAAAATTATTTTTACTCATACTTGAGCCAAGAACTAAACACATTGCTTTCCTCTAATCTATGGGTGCTTCGTGATGTAATCAGTTAAAGACATTGTACTTATATTCTGCTGTTTCTTCCCGAATGGATGTTCCCTGAAACAAAAATAAAACAAATAAATACTGGGAAAATTTAAGAGGGTTACATATCAAGACCAGAATTGTCTAAAATTCCTGTAACATTTCATGAAAATAACAGAAAATATGCAAAATTGTTGTTAAACTATATTTTATTTCATAAATACCTTACTACAAAATGAAGATTACAAGTTTCTTGGGATTCATTGTTTCTTTGAAAAGCATCTTTATTGTACATCATCAGTAACATCACCTACAGCAGCCTAAGTTGTCAATACTTATTTTTACTTTTTCTAATATATATTTTACATCATTTTTATTTAAAAGTTTTTTAAAAAGAAGCTAAAATCCAATACAAATTAGTATAAGTAAGAAAATAGAAGAAAGAAAAAAGAGAAAGCTAAAATGCAAAAAAGAGAAAAGAGAAAAAACATACAAAGTAACTTCCACTCTTCTTTATAGCAATTACACGAACAACTATAAATTTATCTTTTATTCTATGATTGCAACACTCTTCTTGCTATAATTTATCCTGTCTAATCATCAAAACCATTAATCATTTCCTGTTTTTCTGTCTTGCAAAAAGTCTATAAGAAAGTTCCAATCATCAATAAATAATAGATAACTGTCTTTTCTCTTATCAAAGAAATTCAGCAAGTACTCTCCTCTTCACCAACCATTAGTCCATCATGGGTAGTGCTGAACCTTTCCATTTCTGTGCATACAATACTCTTGCTGCAGTTACGTACAAAAACAAAGTTCCATAACATTTTTCAAGTGTTTGTCCAATAATCCCAAAAGAAAAAGCATGGGTTTCAATCTTCTGAATCAATGTATGCATTTTCATCTAGATCTTTCTACTTATTTTACATGTACATCAAACATGATAAAATGTCCCTTCTTGTTCATTTTCTAAGTTAAATTTGAAGTGCCTTTAGACATTCTAGCCAATATGGTGCTATATAATAATTGTAGATAATTTTATAAAAAATGTCTAAGTTTAAATATAATATAAATTACAATTCTTTCAGCCACGTTTTCCAATTGTTTCATTTGTATATTACAACCCATTTTTTTAGCCCAGTTTATCATATCGTTCTTTCATTTGTTCTTCTTCTGTTTCAAATTTCAATAAAAGTGTTTATATGTTAGCAGTTACATGGTCATCATTTGACAAAATTCTATTTCAGACTCAATCTTACAACATTCAAAATTATAATTTCTTTGGTCTACCGTAAATAAGAGGACCATTGACAACTAGTCACCAATTGGTGACAACTTAGTCACCAATTCTTCTCTTGATTTTATTTTACCTTCTCCTTGACAAAATTTTAATATCTCACAAAAAGTCAGCCATTTATGTGTGCCTATTATTTATGGTGTATAATATGACAGTGTGTTTTTGGCCTGCCTTAAATAATATTTATTTTTTAAAAATCCACATTAATCCTGACTTTGTCATGCTACAAGTATCTGTGCCACCCAAATATCAGGTCATGTCCTTCTAATTCCAAAGTCTTCTGTTTCTTAGCAGCATCCTCTCTTTCATCTAAATCTAAACAGCAAGCTTCAAAATACAGTTTAAAATCAGGTAAGCTCAGTCCTACTCTTTTCATTTTGTAACACCTTATGGTGTTACGAAACCATAAACCAAAACACTCATGGTTTTTCACCTGTACATACATTTAGATATAACCTCTGCCAGTTTTTAAATGGTACGTGAATTGCCAAAGAGTTATTGTCTGAAACAAAAAATATATTTCTAGGCAAGACAGTCGTTTTTATCACTGAAATTCTCTCCCAAAATGTCAGTTGTAATTTTTTCCATTTTAACATTGTTATTTGGTTCATCAATCAGTCAACCAAATGTGCAGACTGGATTTGGCATTTTTGTCCATCTGTTGAGTCCTTCCGAAGGACCTAGAATATTATTAAATTTGTTCGCCACCCATCTCACCACAAGGCAATTGTTTTTTGAAGATATCTTTTTTAACTTTAGTCCATGTCTTAATGTATTTTTTTGAAATTTTACATTTATACTATGTCATAATATAGTTATTGTGAAACAGTTCATATTTATCATGGTGAAACTCAGATAATTCAGCTTCTTTGCAACCTTAAAATCCATTTTACTTAACAATTATGTTTGATCTTCTATTTCTGTTAACATCTTTGTTTTCTGTTTGTTAAACTTAAAGCCTGCTAATGCACCAAATTCTTTTAATTGGCCCATTTGCCAATTCATAAATTAGCTTTAGTATGGTGTCTCTTCCATGTTCCCTGAATAGATAACGTTCCATCCAAATCTTATCTTACACAACATTTATTTTAAGGGTGATGTTTTCAGGAAAATATAAAATAAGAGCTATATGAAGGAAATGGTCTGATATACTAATTAATGGGTTTGATTTTTAGTACTGTATAATTTAGAAATTATGAAGGCCAGTTCACATAAAAATTGGGCCCTTGACAAACCCCAGAAAAGAGGGACCCTGTGGCCCTTTCCTCTTATCTTGGAAGTCACAGTTCTGAGAGAGGAGTCTTCCATTAATTATTTCTCAAGAGATCATGTAGATCATGTTGGGGGAGATATGTGATTAAACAGATAAACTAGGACTCCAGTGCAGTATTCAAGGCCACTCCCATAAGGCATGGCAGCCAGATGGTGTGAAAAGACCCAATAGAGCTGCATCAGCTCATAAAAGGCAATACTGAAGGAAACCAGAGAGCCAGTTTGGTCTAGTGGTTAAGATACCAGGGTAGGAAATAGGAGACCATGAGTTCAAGTTCTGCCTTTGCCATAGAAACCACCTGATGACTTGAGCCAATCACCCTCTTCAGCCCAGCCCACCTCATAGGTTTGCTATTGTGGGGAAAATAAAAGCCCAGCCCACCTCATAGGGTTGCTATTGTGGGGAAAATAAAAGTGTGTTGGATATGTTTGCCATCTTGAGTTATCTGTAAAAATAATAAATGTGGGAAATAAATAAATAACTCAAATAACTCACCATATTGGTGAAGGAGGCACTAGACCAGGGGTGTCAAATTCAGTTTCATTGAGGGCCACCTCAGGGTTGTGTTTTATCTCGGGGGGCCGGGTTGGCATGACCATGTGGGAATAGCCAGCTTGACATCACTCATGTTGGGGGGCACCTGTGGTGGCCTGAGTGCTCTGCCAGTGAAAACAGGCTCCCGAGCTCCATTTTTGGCTGCAATGACCCCCTGCAACCTTCTGTCAGCAAAAACGGAGCTCGGGAGGGCCACACATGGCCCTCCTGAGCTCTGTTTTCACTGGCAGAGGCACCGTGGGCCAGTCCTTCGCTGTTTACAGGGTGGCCCCATGGGCCAGATCTGGCCTCTGGGCCTTGAGTTTGACACCCCTGCACCAGACAATCGCAGCATAGATGGCTAAAGAGATAAGAAGGAAGGCCACTGATACTGCAGACACAGGCAACTCAACATAAAAGTGAGATGAACAGTGAAACTTAGTGGAGATGTTTTTGCTACAAGAATATCAATATCTTAGTCTTCCAGGATAGTGTTGGTGGATCATAAGGAGTTGGTGAGAGCAAAGGAAATTAACATGATTAACTGAAGTTTGCTTTGTATTAAAAAATAGATTTTATATTTTTATCACTTAGTGAATTTCTGCAAGAAAGTTCCTTGCTGCATTTAATCATCATGTACTGTAAACAATTTCTAAATATTCTTATTTATATATTTATAGCCTGAGCTTCTTTCTTAAGAATTCAAGGCTGTATTGATAGTTTCTTTCTTTAATTTTAAAACCATATTATAAAATAGGTTAAACTGAAAAAGACGGATGGTACACAAGTTATTCAGTGATCTTTACAGTTGTGCATAGATCTCTCATTAGGTCTCAGGTCTCTCATTATTGAACACATC